AAAACGGTTGGAGTGTCCATATGCAGGAGGAGAATTTTACCTGACACTAATGACCCCTAAAGAAAGCTGGCCTAGAAAGGAGTATGGGTGGTTGCATGATCAGGTATGTGGTCGTATCAGTCACCCGATCTTAGTTTCAAAAGGTTTGGTAGACTTTGGAAATTGTTTGGTAGACTTTGGAAACTTAATGATAGAATTACTTTGGTAGACTTGTAGTAACAAATGGTAGATTTAGTCATTATGTTTGGTAGACTTGTATTCTATTATGTAGTAACAAATGGTAGATTTTGTCAGTATGTTTGGTAGACTTGTATCTTTTATGTTTGGTAGACTTATATAAATTTGGTTGTAAAGCTGGTTGGTAGACTTATATAAATTTGTTTCATTACCTAATGCAGCATATCGTAAAAGGATTAGACATGTCCGGAAACGTCTATGCGTATCCATCTCCTTACAAAGGGGGAAGAGTTGCTTTCCTTGATTCTATCTTTTGTCGAGTTTGGTGTGGAGACTATCGAAACAAATTTCTACCAAACGAGAAGAGTTGGCTATTCAGTGATGGTTATTTGGACGTTGCCAACGGTCACTACGACCATTACTTGCCTACACACAAGAAATGGGGGACAGATGTTGATTTCGTGTATATCGCCCACAACGTGAACAACGAACATTGGGTAGCCGTTGAGGTCGACATTCCCAAAAAAAAGATCCGAGTGTTTGATTGCATTCCAGATTTATACAGAAAAGGCGAGGTGGAGGAGTCTGTGAAGCCCTACGCGAGGATGATTCCGCTGTTGTTGAAACATATGGCACCACCGGAGCTCAAGAAGGGTATGAAGGAGGGGCAGTTTCATATCTACATGTATAAAACAGCGGCACTAAACAGACAGACAGGTGCAATGCAGCTCTGTAGATTTGGTATTTTTATTTGGTAGACTTTTAACTAATTATCGGGTACTTGTTATCAGGTGATTGTGGCGTCTTTACTTTGAAGACCATCGAGTGTTTGGCTTTGTGCCATAAATGGGACCAGCTGAAAGATAGCAACATGCCTCTCATTCGTATGAAATACGCAGCTGAGATTTTTGATGAGGTACATGAAGCAGAAGAATCCCGGATGTCTGATCCTAACCCTCGAAGTTTATTTGATGACAAGTACGGTTTACAGACAGACTCCGCTAACTGAGATCTTCGTTTGGTAGACC